AGTAAATCACCGCCTGCCAACAAGTATGACTATGTTGGATGCTTCTGACTCGCTATCAGTCTCCAAGCTTGCAGAACCCTACACCCTTACAGCATAAAATGAGCCTTTGATCCCCCCCTCCAGTTTGTTGGGGAGAAAGTGCCACGTAATGGCAACAAGTCCAATTCACATATAGGCTGCTATAACACAGACTAGCATTGAATTTCTGCATACAAAACAACCTTGGCTCTCCAAATTTACTTCGGCCATCATATTCCAATCTTCCAACATCCGTACTCTCGACGTTGTCAGTGCAAGCACTTGTCCTCCGAAGGCAAGGCTTGAATGAGATATGCAGACCAGTATGCTTTGGTGGGTGACCTTTCTTTTCGATTTCTGAAGACTACAAACTAGATGACTTGCTAACCTCTCATCTCAGCACCCAACCACCAGATACACGAACCGTGGAGTTGAAAGCCATCTTCGAATATGAGCTTCCAGACCCTTCCCGGGTCCTATCCCTTCAAGCATACGACACCCCGAACGCCTTCACATGCTTCCCTAAACTCCCCATGGAGTTAAGATTGATGGTCTGGAAGCTGGCCTTTCCCGCACCGGCCTCTGTCAACGTGAATCCGGTCTATCGTGTGTGTAAGGAATACAATTCACCGGTGCGTATCCCACAGAGGCAAGCCCCCATTACCTTGAGAATCAACCATGAAAGCCGCATGGAAACACTGCGGCAATACACAGTTTTGGAATGGAATAACAAAGGGCCGCCTTACATAAATACATGTACTCGCCTGTGTCTAGATCCCGTCAGCGACATGCCTTACATATCCTATGCCATAAGTACGAGCATGGACCGGGCCGAGTACCAGTGGACTTATCCGAGGTTGGATGAATATGAAGATGGGTTTTCCAATGTCAGGCAACTGGAAATCCGCCAGGTGGTTTGGGGTCCGACCGAGAGGGGATTTTACTACCTCGTTGCCCAATGCCTGATGTACTTGAAGGGGCTGAGAGTCCTATATCTCACAACACATTTTCCAAAACCGGCCCCTACTAATCCAGGGCATCCGTGCCAGTTTCCAGGTTGTCGCCTTCATAACGCCGAAGCCATGAAGGCTTTCCGGGAACATATGGCGGCATTCATGGAACTGAATAAGGCCTTCTTTGGGGGTCAGCTTCCAGAGGTTCGTATTCGTTCGTGGCAGCCACTGGGCTCGTCAAAGTGGTGATTTGGAACTTCTTTTGGCTGAAGAATGATGGATCAGACAAGGATTATACTAGATGTTATGAACTATATGTTCCGGGAGACGAGAGATTTATTTCGTGGGGTGTTGCTCATAAATATCAACCAGTCACGAAACATATATTCACAAAGCAAGCAGGCAGGCATACCCATATTCAAAGAAAGAAAAAAAGATTCATAAGTCCATCGCATACAGAATAACTAATTGATACCTTACCCCTCCAAACCCAATCCCTAGTAAAACAAACGAATCCCAAATCATACATAACCACATCTCACTATTTCGTACCATGGCTCCCGACATTGTGGCCTGCTTGGTCGGTCGTTGCCTCGCTGACAGCGGAGCCTCGCGGGTGCAGGATTCTGTCGCTGAGACTTTGTTTTCGGTGGCCTTCTTGGCCCGTCGCTGCCTCGCTGGTACCTGTACCTGAGCTACCTGAACGTCGGGGGTGGAGGATTCTGTCGCTGAAGCTTTGTTTTCGCTGGTGGTTGGGTGTTTTCCCGGTGGTGCCGGATTGTTGACCAATGCCTGTGAGGTTAGAGTTTTTACTGGTGGTGTCTCTCAAGTTGGAGTCCTGACCAGAGCCTGCAAAGTCTTGGGCCCCACCTGATTGCTGTCCTGCAGTGCGGCTGCCTCCAATGACGCCAGAGTGTTGACCTGCTATAGAGCGGGAAGTTAATTTTTTGCAACAAGTTCTATTGCAGGGAATATCATCTCACCAACTGTTCCGGAGGTACCAGAACCGTACCCCTCAGTACTAGGGAACCCGGAGCTTCCCGCAACGCCTCTGTTGCGATCAGCGCCGTGGAGCTTGTCTCCAAGATCCGATCCACGAGTCTTCTCATCGAGGGGAGTAGCACCGTGGCCAAGGCCCTGGCGTCCAGTCTCACCGGCAACTGCATTTCCTGTACCCGTTCCAGTACCAATGCCGTGATTTCCTGATGCTGTTGGAAGGCCGTTGCTGGTGCCAGTGCCTGTTTCGTGGCTGTTATGGTGCTTTTCAGCCTCATAAGCTGCACCACCAACGCCACCTGCTACACCTGCATCTCCACCAAGCTGATGACCCGAGGGGCTGTTGTAGGCAGGAGTTGAGGCAACTCCGACTGGGGATGATGGTGCGCTTCCGTGGTGTCTGTCAGCCTCCTCTGCTCCGCCCCCGTGTACCGACGAATGGTGGTGGGAATCTTCAAGACCAACATTTGAGATATCTTGTGTGTTGACAGAAGGGTCAAGACGGTTTGCGACTGATGTGGTATGTGGCTGTTCGATATGTAAGCCAGTATATTGTAAAAAGGAATCCATGTCACTACTTACTCCGCCGATGGCAGTTGCATCTCGGCCAAGACTAGAGACTTGATTGGATCCAGTCACACCAGAGCCTGAGCGAAAGGGTAGACTTTGACCTGTAAGTCCTTGACCAGTTTGTGTAGTGCTTGAACCCAGGTTTCCCTCCCCTACTCCACCAGGGGTGCCAACTACACCCGCATCACGGCCTAAGTGTTGGCCAGAACTCTGGTTTGTGCTAGTCAGACCTGATCCGGACCCAGCGTAACCTGAATCCGAACCGAAGTTCCGCTCGTTCTCGCGAGAGGACTGAGAGCCTTGCCCAGTGCCTGACGAGATTCCACTCGTATTGGAAGTTCCTAGACCACCTGCAGTACCTGTGGTGCCCAGACCAGTGCTTGGGGTTCCTGAGATTGCAGAGCTTCCAGAGTTCCCAAGTTTTGGGTTCCCGGAGTCGACTCGTGGGTCCACTTTGTTTGCGACGTTTGATGAATGTAGTCCTGTTGCAGAGGATATACCACTAGTACGTGTGTTTTCATAGCCAGAGCTTGTATTGCTTGAGCCTAGACCTTGAGTGCCGGTGGTATTATCAGTTCCTGATGGATAGGCACCGGAGATACGAGACGCATTTCCCGCAGTCGTATCGCGGGCGTTTCCCAGGTGTGATCCTTCACCTGCAAGACCGCCAGTGGGGCTTTTAGTCTGTCCGGTGCCGGTGGACTGGGAACCATGGGTTTTGCTTGACGAACTGGCGCCAATGGTCGTCTTATCGTGGGTTTTGTGTGAACTGCTGGGTAAATGTCAGTATATTGAAAGGTCCTCGAGCTGGTGGATGATTGGGACTGGATTATTTTTACTTACATCAAGCTCTTGAGTTTTAACATAATTGCCAGGTTTGTATGTCAAGCTTGCAATGTTTAGATATCAAAGCAGACGCTTGGGGTTGAGCTGTCCTTATATATGAAGGTATTCACAAAGTCTACGAGAGGGCAGGTGGGTATGATGAAGTAGATGACGAAATGACGGTTTGTGGGGTATAATTAGATTTGAATAGTAGAATGGTCTGTAGGTATGATGTGATTGAAATAAATGGAAAAGAAGGGTGGTCCCACGTCAATATATATCAACAAGTGTAGCAGAGGGAGGGGTAGACGGTAAACGATGATGTCGTGTGTGGCTTAAGCTATATTGGATGTCAACAGTCCGGTCTCCTCACGAGCTCTTTAGCTCATGGTTGTTAGAGTTTGACCATAGCAAAACCTGTTGGAGGCAGAGTAGAATACTTGTACCGGTAGGCCGAGATTCTGTAGTAGGTGCCTTTAGTACTATTGTGTGCGAAGAACGTGACAAGACAGGTCAAGGTGACGACCCCGCCTTTTACAATGCCAATAGCCATACAGTCTGTACAGAATAATTTATGGCAACTTGTGACCGCCTTGACCTTTCCATCAGTTCAATGGATCTTTTCACGCTGTGAAGAGACCTTTAGGAGAGATCGTCAATCATGAGGCTCGCCTGCAGGAGAAAGTTTCTCCTGCATGCGGCTGCCCCGCAGTCTGTGCAGGTGTCATGGAATGAAATGGTACCGTGCAGCTGTGGCGTTGTGGCGCAGTGCATCTAGATTATGAAGTCTCGCTCGAGTCATTCGGAGTCGTAGCGTACCTACTAATACCTTCAGGTCGGGAAGCTAGTGTTTTTCCGGAAACGAAATATTCCTCTTCTTATCCCTTCTTTCCTTAAAAGCTTGGAAGACTGTACCAGGCGTGACCATTTCAAATATAAGTTACCAAAACATGAAATGAGCGCTATGAAAAGGTAGAAATTAGAAGACGCAACAGTTATTACATCTTCCATTCAGAAAGAAGCCCAATCACCTATAAGTACCCAAGAGGAATACTCATCATAGTGACTGTATGGGGAATATTGAGTGAGCCTTTCTAGTCAGGTGACTTACTCGACCAAACATCAATGAAACCACCAGTACCATCAACTATGGACCTACATGTAAGTTAACAAACACATGCTTTGTTATTCATTCTCACTTATTAAATTAATATCATCTCAATTGAAGGAAACGAATATCAAAGCAGCTTCACTAGACCAGATATACTCTACACACTCTACATTAGTGACAGCCATCTCCTCCTCGCCCCCCGAGAAGTTGCTACTGTACACCCCAAATTCCCCACCACGCCAATCCCTGCTCAGCAGTTCAGACTAGAGCTATCCGACTACTGGACCAATGAATACAAGACGAAAGTCAACAAAAAGCCGATGTTCCATTATAAAAACACCGAAAAGAGGATGTATATATCAAGTTCACTCGAACATTCCTTTTGAACCGAGTCCTGTGTATAAAACATTAAATTAGAGCAAGTCCTTCAAGCCGCAACAATGGATATCAGCGTGTACGTGAAGTCCTCGAATATATCTCTGCAAATCCAAGCCCTCACCCTGATTACACGCGCCTCTTCTTCTCGTTTATATACGCTCGTGAAACCTACTTCCCCTGCGCTCAACCGGCGTACTCGGACTCCACGTCCCGGCCTCACTCGCGCTCGGACTACTGATCCTAGTATCGGCCGCGCCCCTCCCCCTTTCCATTATACTCGGCATCGTATCAGAATTTGGACTGACAATATGGTCATCCTCGGCATCTCTCGAACGCCCATATTCATATTCTTCCCCCAGTCCCCTCTCCTCAGAACCATGTCCATCTACTGCCGTCCGTTCATGTTCCGCTACAGGGCTCAGACTATTGACATTAGCTCCTCTTGAGCCATCGTTCGGTCCAACAACTCCCTCACTCTCGATCCTACGCGACGGGATCGGCACCTCAGCTTCCAATTCCTGCGGATGCATTATCGGATTGCCCTGAATCTCAACCTTGGCATCCTGCCCACTGATTTCACTTGTGTATGCAGAAGCTTGCGCGGAATATGCGCTGGAATCTGGATGCTCGATTCGTTTTCCTGTGTCGATTTCGGCGACGTCTGGACCGGGGACATGGAGATTGGTGGCTTTGAGCTTGCGGCGGCGTCGGATGATGATTAGGGCCGCGACTAGGGAGACGCAGGCGATTCCTAGGAGACAGCCGAGGACGATACCTATGATTGTACCGGTGGAGACGTTTTTCTTCTTGGAGTGTTTGGAGATATTAGAGTTTGTGGGCGAGGAGCTGGATGTGGGGGTTGGAAGGTCGGGAGGGAGTGCTACAACGTGGGCTTCGGCGTTTTCGTCGAATATGCATTGGGATACATTGAAGGTGCGGCTGTTGTAGTGGGTTGTGACGTATGCTTCTTGAAGGAAGGTCCGTCCTAATGTGTATAAACCAGCTTCATTTGTTTGGCGGAGGGGAAAGTAGAGGGAACTCTTGTTTGTAAGGATAGGAGCTGTGAGATTAAGGTCGAAGGAAGCATAAGGAAGAACAATGTCGGTCGTTGGACCGCCTGTCTTTTGGTTGGCTAGTGTGAAGGTAATGTTTGGGTTCAGGTTTTGTAGACTGGCGTGGGTGGAAGCGTTGATAAGGTATCGTTGACTTGTTTGGTCTAGGGTAAGCCCAAAGGCTTTTTCAAACTGTTGGCATGCTTCTGTGGGCAACCATATTTCGGGTACGGCCGAGTCGATGAGGGCCAATTGGGGTGTAAGCATCAAAGAAGTATTCCCTGAAGCCGTGGTTGACGTTATTGAGCGAATTGTGACCACGATATCTCGAAGGTTATCGGGAGCCATGTTGAATATAACATCGTTTGGCGTAAATTTAGACGCATCATAGCCACCGAATATCAAGCTTCCGTAAACACTTTTCAGCCGGTAATATGCCCCAGCTGTATAACTCCAACTCATACTTGATATTGAGCCATTTGACGACAACGTACCAGAGAAGCTGTCCTGCGGGTTGCCGTAAGTCGAGAAATTCGTGGGTTGAAAACCAAGCCCCAGCATACCAAACCACCAAGTATCGGAAACGATTTCAGAAAGAATTTGGTGTTTAAGGGCAGGTCCATCGGAAGCTGTGTAGCCCAAGCCAACCGTATCAAAGCCTGCAATCATAAGTACAGCAGCCAACCGACGTTATCAATCGCAGAGCATACCATATTGCCCCTCCCCGGAGTAGCCTTGCGCCTCATCCAGACCGAGAAAATTCTGTGTATTGCTTTCCCATGATGAGGATTTCGACGAATCGTAAAAAACACCTCGTGAATCACTGCAGTCTGAAGGAACCCCTACACTAGTATTGCAAACATTGGCAGCTGCGCCGTATATAACCCAAACTTCCTGCCACGATGTCGCTGGTAATACGCGAACGGTTTGCGCGGGTGTTCCAACGTGGATTTCGAATGTAGACCAGCTTCCATCAACACCTTCCCTGGGCAACAATCAATATCTCTAGGAGATGCCTCTGGGTCTGCGACTTACCAATGCTGACTCGGCTCCGCGATGATAGGCGCTAAGAGCGTACTATTTCTCTTCACCAATTCTGGCTCCTGTGCAATAACAATCTTCAGAGAAATGAAAATTGCAACACATTCTAGTAGCGTACGCATGATTGATTAATTACTTGGCCGGCGCGGAGAAAAGAAAGACATATCACAAGTCGCCCTGGATCTGTGGAAGAAGACATAAAAAGTACAGAAGAGGAGACTGATAAAGTACTGGTACAGTAGAGTAGCATAGAGAAGAACTAACGACCTACCAAACGCAGCAATCAAAAGCCAGGAACAGACGGATCATGAACCGCAATTCCTGACTGGGAGGTTACAATGCAGGACAATGCGGCTTCATTGGGAGAGCCGTTGCAATGACGTTGGTCTGCTCAGGGGAGAGAATTCTTGCAATTGAGAGTTCAAAGCTTGGCAGCCAGTGAAAATGGTGCGGTTGAAGTCACAACCCCAGTTCGCCTCGCCAAACAAGCATTTCAACGTCTGTAACCGAGGCATATTCGCATATTCAGGCTTTTTATGATCTTCGGTTCTGGATGAGGATAAGCCCGACTGTTGATCCGTCCAAGTCTGTTCAGGTAGAGGACTGATGCCGGTAGAGATGCCACTGAAGAGAGAGAGAGAAACACTGCTGCGAAGAAAGTGCGTGCCGGTCATGAAGACAGAATATTGCCCCCATTGGGTAGTCTAAAGCTGCCGAGGGTAGACTGGTACTTCCAGCCCAACTTCACTTTGACAGTGCAATTCAATGAGCCTGGCCAGCTTTATAGGAAGAAAATGAGAAGATATAATCTTGTATAAGTATTTCAGAGAATGAGGCTCCTCTTACAATACCAAAGAAGGTAGATACCGTAGAGGGGAAGATTTTCACCCACGTGCACTATCGATGGTAACCATAGGCGACACTAGCGATTGGGGCCGTAAACACAATACAACCACAATTCGAATCCTTATCCGTACTGCACCAGAATCTGCACCTTGAACACCATCAAACTACATTTAATTCATAATACAAGCTTGTTATTACTTCCATCTTTGACCAAACAGATGGATACGTCCTACAAGTTCCCCGGCTCGCCCGGGACACCACTCCACCAAGTCTCTCCCGAGCGCGTCAACCAGCAACGCCCAATATCAATGTTTGAGCCCGATTCAGAGTCCGCCGGCATACGCTTTTCTGAAGTGAAGGGCCACTCGCATTCGAGAGATAGCTCGGTGCATGACAAGATATCACAGTTCAATACCTTGGCATTTCAAGGGAAGCAGTTGGAGCGCAAAACGAATGATGCGGCGCTCAAGCGTGCAATGTTGGGGCGGGAGGAGGCTGAGAGCGAGATGAGGAGATATAGAGACGAGACAAGATCCCTAAGGAGGCATATTGAGGAGGGAAAGGAGAGAGAACGCAAGGTAGGAGAGAGGTTGGAGACTGTCATGGTACGTTTGCCCTTCTGGCGCATATTGACAGCTGCTGATGATTCCGCAGGAGAATTACGGACGAGCGAAAGAGACCCACGCGCATACACAAACATTATGGGAGAAGGAGATCCGGCGTGCTAGGAAGGAATCGTTTAAGTCACAGTCCGTCATGGTCAAGCTACAGGAAGAGCTCAAGTCGTCTCGCAACCTCATGAAGGCTGCGCAAGCGGATTACGAGCAGGAGAAAGAGCGCAGCACGAGGAGAGAGCAAGAGGCTTTCGCGGCGAGATACCAGCTTGTCGGCGTCCAAGAAGAACTCTCCCAAATGCAGGAGAAGGTTAAGCTCGTGGAGCAAGAACGGGATGCCTTGAGGACGATTGCAAAGAACGAGGAGATTGCTAGAATTGCTGCCGAGGGACGAATCCCATTGCCCAAGTCATTCGAAGGCGATGAGTTTGCTTCACCGAAGAAGCAGAGGAAGTCTCTGGACCCTATTACGATTACATCGTCGGCTGCCAGTGAGGAGGAGCTCGAGGAGATCCGGATGCAATTGGAATGGGAGCAACAGAGGGCAGAACGGGCGCATGATCGGGTTGAGTTCTTGGAGATGGAGTGCCGTCTCAACTGCTGCGCATCAAGAAAAGAGCGAAATACGGAGCGCATGCCTGCGCCGAGCCAGAAATCCAGACCGAGCACAGTATTCATAGCCGCCGAAGGAGTCTTCAGAACCGTCTCTCCACCACCAGAGGAGTCCCCTTGGATCTCACCTGCAAAGAAGACAATCCCAGTCTTGGAGCAGCCTGAGCCTCAGCCAACACAGTTAAGCTACGCCAGAACACCTTCGTGCGAGCCCCCTGGACCATCCATGATCTCAGACGGCAACACCTCTTTACTCTCCCTATTTGATGCACCCCAAGGCCCAGCCCACAGCACAGAAGAAGAGCCAGAGAGCCCAGGCCCAACCATTAAAGAAGAACCAGAGGAATACGATGAATCAAACCACACAGTCATTCAGACAATTACAACAACAACCCGCATCCCCCTCGCCTCCCCCGTAGACGTCACTCCCCAAACAGTCCTACCGGCAATATCCTCGAACCCGGCCCTGAGCCCGACCATGTCCCGCGAAGAAGCATTAGCACAGATCCGCGAGCGCAGAGGCCGAGCAAGAAGCCTAGCACAGGGAACACTGACGCCGAGGAAGCAGATGGTTGAGGGAGGAGTTCGTCGAGATATCAGTGCACCTGCTATTCGGAGTGGTAACACCCGCGGCAGGAGTCAGGCCAGAGCATGAGCGAAAAGTGCGTTTGATTATTCCCTGCGTCGAATGGATTTTTGGATAGGGGACTGGCGGGGAGTTTCTTTTCGGGAAAAAGCAGCATAGCACCTGGCGTTTTCATCCGGGGCCGTGTTACAGCTGTATATCATGAAATGCGTTTGTTTAGAGTGTAATTAGCCTTTATAATATGAATCGTTTGAGTATTTTCGGTTTTCTAGCATTGCGTCACGCGTGATTTGTTGGTTCTTGCATATATAAATGACCCTTCCACAGAATCCCAAAGTAATTACAGACATTACGAGAAGCCTTGGTTCACACTGGGGGTGGACTTGACGTTTTTCTTAGCTTCCTTCTATTGTTACGATTCAGAAATTACTCATGATCTACTGCGAAATTATTCTTTTTTTTCTCTCAGGTTGTATCAAGTTCCTTGACCTAGTGACTTGACATTCCATATCATTGGTACTTCTGACCGAATTTTGCAGATGACAGCAAAGTAATCTTACCTCGTGTGAACGGAACAGCTGTGTATTTGTAGTGAAACGCTTTTGTAACCGACTCCATTGCTAGACTTCAGTAAAGTAATCGTTGTGAATGAAGTTGGCAGTTCTCAGGTTCCTGATGAGATGAGGCAGATATCTTCCTTGATAATTTGTTGGCGTTGTTTCATGTTCCCCTTGGAAGTATATATACATCTTACCCCGCCGGGTGCAAATATTGAATAAAGTAACAAGTGGAGAAGTGGAAGCCGCGTCATCTGATCTATTAGCATAACTTGCCGATTTTTCTTTACTTGCGTGAAGGACGCTTGCCGTTTGATCTGCCTATAGAGAATCTATACATATATATTGTTTCACCGGTCCTAAGAAAGTTAGAGTAAGGGGATAACAATACTTGGTGGCAATGCTACATAGAGGCCCTTGGCACTTATGTTGCCTCTGTTCCTGCCTACTATAGAACACAAAAGCTCTTCCTCTTAGCTTCTCTGGTTTCGAGCACACATGGGTAGATAGTTACTTCACTGTGAGTGACTTTTCTGGATATCCTCGTAGCTTTCGACTGAGTATAATATATGACAGCAACCTAGTGCAGTCAGATCAAGAAGCAAAGTACAATTTCTTATTGTCGGTTTAGTCTGGGGGGATAATTGTATGAAAGCTTTCTACTGGTTGTTCTTGTTGAGGTATGGAGTCTCACATACCACCATACGACGCTCAAGTTACCTTATAAATCTGAATATCCACATTTTAGTTCTAGATCGTACTTGTATACAAATATCAGAATCATTCCAAAACTCACAGTTTGTAAAGTATAGGAATATCACGTGTAGCCGCGAAAGTCGCGTCGCGCCTCATCTCTCGAACGCGTCGCCAAACATCACCCACATGCAACGTCAAACTCCACAACCTCAGCACAAATCAATTGCTCAACGCCCTTGTGTTGCAAAGCGCTCGCTACAGACAACAAGCTGCAAACATGCCCCCCAAACCCTTCAAACCCCCTCGCCCCTCAGGATCAGGCTTAGGCACAACCCCGTCCAACGGCCGACCACGCAAATCCGGCACATCGATCCCGTCGACATCGAAAGCAAAAACAACGTCCACCGGCATCTCGAAATCCAAATCCTCTACCTCCAAACGCCTCAGTGCGCGCGATATCGGACTCCCGTCCCTGTCCCCCGACTCAGACGATCCGTCTAGTGCCTCGCCCTCGCACTCACAAACAGCAGAAGAATCCGACGATCCGTTTGCGTCGCAACCTGTTGTGCCGAAAAGCAAGAAACGGCAGAGTGGTGGTAAGGGAGTGGATATGGATATGGATATGGATGGGGGGAGGAATAGGGATGTAGTGGGGATTGATGAAGATGCTGATGGTGAGGAGGGAGACGAGAGGAGGGAGGGAATACCGCCGGACTTGTTGAGTGTATTATTGCATCAGATGTTCCGCAAGGAAGGGACGAGGATGAGTAAAGGGGCGAATGCGGCGGTGGGAAAGTATATGGAGACGTTTGTTAGGGAGGGTGTTGCTAGGTGTGTGTGGGCGGGGGCGGAGAGGAGGGGGGAGGGGGGAGTCGTTGAGGTGAGTTTTGAGTGGGATGGAGGGTGAAGGGAAGGAGTGGGATTGCTAATATGTGTCGCTTTTTCAGGTTGAGGATTTGGAGAAATTGGCGCCGCAGCTTTTGCTTGATTTCTAGAGACGGGAGGTGGGTTATGGATGGGTTTGATTAGGGAATGGGCATGGGCATCACTCAAGTTTACGATTGCTTTGGACGGCGCATGTATACGGATTTGGAGGGTTATGTTTACGGTGTGGGCGGGAAAGCTTACAGGGATATGTATATGGATTGCTTTGGGTGATACGTATGATCAGGGGTGTTCATGTCATGTGTTGACGTTTCCGCACTGTTGATAGATACCCTCAAGTGCAGATTCCTGCAGTAATACTAGGAAGCAAAGCTGCTTATGAATATCTCTGCCAGGCATTCATCTCGAGTGAGAATTCATGCACTGCTGCACGCACTTGTATGTCACCGCCTTCCTATATCTACTAATAATAAAAAATCCCAAACACCACTGTTCAAGTCCAAAGCAGAAGCCGGACCCCCCAACATCCCACCAGTGAATACATAATATCATCTCATATCCTCTCATCCCATATCCCCTTCCCCATCCAGCCATCCCCCCAACTTTTGTTGCACTTCGCAAATCCCAGTGCTACTTTTGAGGGCATTCCCAACTCCCATCTACGACATATATACATGTGCTGAAAAGCAGGAGGATGAGGAGGATAGGTTCGAGGGATGCGGAGTGCAAGGATGTTTTTTTGGTGTGGTTGGTGGTCGTGGCCGTGGTGGATAGCTCGTGGTAGGAGGATGCATGCTCAGGCCGAAACTAGAAATATGTACATGCAATGGCTGAAAGAGAGGAGGATGGGGAGAAAACGGGAGGATGAGGAGAATAGGTTTGAGAGTCGCGATGTGCAACAAACGATTTGGGGGTGGGCTGGATGGGGAGTGGTGGGTGGATACTTTGTACGGATTGGGGAATTCTTGTCAAGGACTTCACATGATAATTGAGGATGCCCGGACAGTTTCGAGATTCTTAGGTAGGTAGGTAGGTATGTCTTGGTTCTAATATATGGGATTGATATACGGGATTTGGAATTGCAATAGAGGTTGTATGTGTGCATGTCTGGAAGTTAGAGGCACAGCTTTTATCTTCACGGGAATTTATATTAAGACTCTGCTGGTGTAGAAGCAGGCGAAAGTGTTGAGTGTTGATACTTTCCAGATTTCTTGAAGAGTGATAAGACGTGTTTGGGGGAGTTGGGAGAAATGTGAGAGGGAAGAGGCAATTTGAAGAAAGTGGATGTTTAGTTACCATGCTGTAAAGGATGGCATGCTGGTCTATATACAAGTTCACAAACCTCGAAATGGCCAAACAGCATTGCTACTATAGTCGATTGTACAATATACATCCTATCTTGTTAGTAACACTGGTCTTCAAACATTCACATAGCAGTCCAGTCATAAGCCGCAGTCGCAAAATGGCATTTGATGTATAAACACTGTGAAATGTACCCAAGTACTTGTTTGTCCGTAAAAAACAAGAACAGCGATGACAGGAACGCTGACCACCTTGGTAAATCTGTAGAGCTAGGCAATCTCCCAGCTTCTCTTCAATCCATCACATCATCCCTCAACGCGAACAACGCCTCAACCACCTGCTCTGTCTTGGTTCTAACGGCATCGTGATACATGGTATTCGTAATAAACTGCTTGCAGTTCCTCACCTTCTTTATAGACTCTTGCGCCAACTCGAAATTCACCTGTGCATCGTCCACATATACAGCCGCGTACACCGGAACTTCATTCTTCGCGAGTTGGCGCTCGTCGAACAAGTCCGGCCATTCCCCGTACTGGGCAATGATCTCGGCTACCTTGCGAAGCTTTCGGAGCTCGGCAAATGTCTCGAACATGAATGGGAATATCATTGCGCCAGCAAAGCATAATGGGGCCTTGCGGCTTGATTTTGTCGCCGAGGTCGTGTCAAGCACCCAACGGTATTCCTCCAAGGACGTAGAGACGCGTTCAGCCGCCCAGTTTGAAGGTCCGCGGGGGTTGTAGATGGATTCGCGGAGAATGAAATGGATGACATTGTCATCGTAGCCTCCAATCGCCTCGATTTTTGACAATGTCGGACGAGTGATCAAGTTGAATGATCTAAGCTCCAAACGCATGCGAAGCACAATATCATGGACTGTGTCAAATCCGCCGGACAGGCCAAACACCATGCCGAGTGTCAGGAATCTCTGTACCGTCAAAACTCCGCCTGCTGGCATTTGCAAGCCACCCTTGGAGTCGATATGAGCTACTAAATCATGGATGGTTTCGATGTCTTCCGGGAACTTTTCATAGTACGCCTCGTTTCGCTCTATCATCTTTTTGAAGTCCTTTCCGTATGCCTCATCTGGTCCCTTTCCTATCGCCGTCATGCCGGCAGAAATGAACGCTTCTTGAAGACCCTGAGGATATTTGGAAAGATACGTCAAGGCGCAAAAACCGCCAAAGCTCTGCCCCCAGATGCTCCATTTCTTGAGTTCAGCCGGGTAATTCTGAGTAAGTACATGCCGTATTGCCTCACAATCCGCAACGATACTATCAGCACGGAATAGCTTGAGGTAATCAGCTTGCTCTTGGGTATCACCCTGCAGCGCCAGAGTTTCCGCGGTTATTGGACTGCTAAGCCCTGTCCCTCGCTGGTCCATATAGAGCATCTGGTATCCCCGATCTAAAATGAGTTTGGTAATGCCGGATGCTTGGGGGGGTTGGCATCCTTTCCCTGGACCGCCTTGGAGCCAAAGAAGCCATGGCTTTTGCAGGGGTTCCCCCTTTTCATTAACAGATCCTGCGGGTCGTTCATGCTTGGTTACACTACGAGCAAAAACTCGTAGGGTCCCCAGAGAAGGATTTGAGTAATCTTTTGGCACCTGAAAGACGAGCTCGGTGACTTGGAGTTTCCCTGGTATAATTCAGTTAACAACTTCTCAAGTAAAGAGGAATGATAGACTGATAATGCTGACCGGGGATCAGATGGGATTTGCTATCGAGAAGGGTTGCCATGGTTATGATAGTCGATTTGTTATCTTTCACTAGAAGGTCAGTGTATATGAGAACAATATATCATCTGGGCAGAATTCAAAGTACGGTGATGATATTCTTTTATGATGCAAAGAAGGTATATCCGGAGGCGGCAATGCGAAAATGGGCCGGTCGTATTAGCAACTCCGTCTTCTTATTTAGGTAACTTGGAGCGAGGAACGGAGTCCATAAATCCCTCATTGTCCCCATGCCCTATGGGAGTAGTGGTCCAATTATCCCCCCACTCAGTGACACGGAGCAAAACGTAACATGTAGCTGGTATAGCAAAATGCAATAGATGATGAAGCGCACCAGTGAGACAGCCTAGGCTTCTCACGGCAGCAGCACACGTTGCGATTGACGAAACTTTCACGGGATGTCTGCTCGCTGCCAATCAAAAGATGGAGGTTGTTGCGGAGCACTTGGTGAAGTGGGATGGGAAACTGAATCGAAGTACCGATACATTGTTTGACTTGGACTGGATGAAATACAGTTAGACTAACAACTAACAGATCATTAGAAATATCTGATGAAGCTGAAATCATTGATATCATATCTCAAATTTGATATTTAGAGTACCATGGAAATTCCTGGGAAGCAAGAGCAAGTACCCTGAGCTGTGGCTGTGTTGTCTGAGGTCAACTGCACGGCCACACCCGCTATTACAAACCATCCAACCACCAAGGACTTCAACGTTTACAACTAAATCTTACAATCTCCTTGGGAATCTATTTCCATTATCTTTTACACTCTCAAACTCTTCAAATCCCAGAATACCAAAAAGACAGAAACACGGCTCAAGAAGATTAGCATGTCTATAAAGCAATCGCGCCAAGCCCTCCAATTTGTAACGATCACGAACCCAGATGAGATCAAAGACCCAGCGAGACAAAAAGCAATACGTCGGCAGGCAAGACGCAGGGCTAATGCCTCGAATTTGAAGCATTTTAAGCTAACTTTCGACCTCCCAGTCGTTGATGTTCACGCTGGCCCTGAACAGTTGCAGCTGAAGGTGGGGCATTACACCCCTCCAATAGTATATGAGCATCCACAACTAAATGCCGGGCTTTCTTCGTTTGATATCTTGCGTTATACTAACACCAATCATGGATTCATTCCTTCGTCTCTGTCTAATATGAATCATCGGATTTCACAACTCGTCGACTTCAGTAAGGAATGCATTTTGATTCTTCTCCTTCTTTGCCCCTCCTCCCAAGACCAGAATCAATGAACCAAATATAGAACAAGGCAGTGTCTGACATATCACATTCAAAGTGCGCCAAGGAGCTGATGGAAACTTCTGTCCCCTCTTGGACTTTTGGTGGAGCATAGCGCAATTGGATACCACGGCCTTCTTTGTCACGCTCGCAAATGCATCGCGAGCACTCAGCATAATGCATCATCCCTCGGAACCTAAAGAGAGCCGTGAATCTATCACGTTATACACCCATTCAATTCAGTCACTGCAGAAGAGACTTCAGATGCCCGTGGACGGATTGAGCCAAGGGGTCGTCATATCCGTTCTTGAATTTGCGTATCACGATGTGAGAAAGCTTAGATACATTTCCCCATGTGTTGAGAAGGGTGTTAACTGATTGTCAAGTTTCTCGGGCAAGATCTCCCACGCTGGAAGGTCCATATGGGTGGTCTCGTTAAGATCATTCAGCGAAGAGGTGGGATTCAGACTTTATATTCATCTGAAGCGATCACTCTCCTTACCTTCTGGTCTCAACCTCCATTCCCCATTGCCAAGAACTCGGTCTCTGACTAAGATCTCAGGATCGATATTTCAGGCTCCTTTATATTTGATGGCTTGCCATGCTTCCCTTTACCCCACCACCTCGTCACGCAAGTTGTGCAGAAAGCTCCAACGAGCTATGTTCTGCAAAAGTGGAATGTAGCTTTTCCAGAGCTTTCTGATATCACTATCTTTATGTGCCAAGCAGCAAGCCTGTCGAAACACATTGATGAGCGTGCTTCCATCAGTGCTGAAATATGGAGAGACGATATGTTTATAGGCAGGACATTCAACAAAGTTATTTACCAACTTTTATCATTGCCTCGACACACTGAAGAGCTAAAGAAAGGTCTTTCACCAGAGCTAGTAATACGGGAAGCAATGCGTCGAGCTTTCATTACTCTGTTTGCATTGTTGAGAGACAAATTCTCAGTCGTTCCGAGCGGGATCGAGCAGCACCGAAATGGAGTGAAAGAGCTTCTGCTTCAGAACCCAGTTGACTGGTCGGCTTTCCTAGAGCTACGCTTGTGGATGCTGTTTACTGCATGTCTAGCTGCTGAGGATGATGATCTTTCATGGTATATTGTGCAGATCAAAGACACCATGGTGCAAATGGGGATTTCGGGGTGGGATGAGGGTGTGGAAGTGGCGAGGAGCATATTATGGATGGAAGAAACTTTCAGAAGCAAGAGCGACAGAGCCAGAGATTTGTTTAAGCTGTCGACAGTCCATTTATGGGAACACAGCGCTCCGTAGCAGCAATACAGTACTGCCTTCGACATTCGCATGCTAGATCACAACTAGTCCCAAAACGGAATATCACAGATCCCTACTTGCATCGTTCGATCAAGGTAAACTCTCTCATCAAAACCCTTTCACTAATCAGCCCCCCAGAAGACGGACCATGCTGACATTGTCCAGTCTAGTATTCGGCGTTGTGACACGGCACGGTACGGCATTGCAACTAGGCCCGAAATGGAAAATCACAACCCTTGCCTGCATAATGCGGCGAAATCGCGAGAAGCCTCGACGGTTGAATAGCATTAAACTTCGGATCTTCAGAGATGAACATGCTCTTAGCAGAGCGATGGAATGCCAATATTACAAATGGAAGAAAGTTGCCGAATGCTTTTCAATCAAGAGTGAGCGGTGCAGAAGTGTATAAAATGATCTGGAAGTCCGCGTTATATCTCTGGTCAACCAACAACTCTCATCAGTACCTCTTTCAACCGCTTCATCTTCCCAGACTCTTCACAGAATAACCATGCCTTCATACGTCATCACAGGAGCATCCCGTGGAATCGGCGTGAGGAACTTTCAACTCACCTTGATTTCTTCGCTAATCACATCAACCAGTTCGCGCTACTTGACCAACTATCCGAAGATGCAAACAATGTTGTAGTTACTATTGTTCGCAACAAGGCTGCGACCGAAAGTAAAATCACCACGGAGCTCCCAGGAAGAAAAAACATCTTCGTCCTGCAAGGTGATCTCACCGACGTGGAATCTATTAAAGTAAGCTGCTCTTCATCTTGGAAATTGAAGACGTTTCTCACTTACTATATCAGAATGCTTTTACCGAGACCAAGAAGCTTCTTGGAGATAGTCTCGATGTCCTGATCGCCAATGCGGGATACATCTCTGACTACTCTGGTTTCCTTCCACTCAGCGAACTGTACGTACGCATCAACCCAGCCAAACATGCCTTTCCACTAATTCCTGTCCACTCAACAGGGGCTCAGATACTAAAGCTCTAGACGCGGACCTGAACCAGCTGTTCCAAGTAAACGTAGTGGGCAACATCCACCTCTTCAACATCTTTCTACCCCTCATCAAAAACGGCCAGGCCAAGAAAATCGTAACCATCTCCTCGGGCATGTCTGATGAGAAACTCACACTGGAAATCGGACTCTTCGAGGCTGGTCCGTACTCGATCAGCAAAGCGGCCATGAACATGGTGAATGCCAAGTTCCAGGCCGAGTTCAAGAAAGAGGGCATTATCTTCATGGGTGTGTGTCCTGGTAGTGTTGATACGGGGCATTATGACAACCGTACGTACAATTAATTGCTCCACTGTTTGTTTTGTGAAGCTCGCGAGAATGCGTATGCTGATTGGAGATTGTTGGCAGTGTCTCCTGAGGATTTGCAGAGGAATATAGCTATGGGTGGGAAATTTGCTGGCTATGCGCCGGGGTTTAAAGGCTGGGCTACTCCTAGGGATTCGGCGCGCGATGTGTTGAATATCGTTCAGAAGGCCACGATGGAGGCTAATGGTGGTCAGCTGGTATCTCATTTTGGGAATAAGCAGTGGCTTTGAGGAGGGAGGAGGAGAAATAGTGCTACTTATGAGGCCCGTTCCCGTTGTATCTTACAACTTAGCTGTAGCATCAGAACGTTAGCAATCTATCCACCATGGCCAGACTCTATGTCCCATGAGGAAGAATATCCAACCTATCACGTGATACAGGAACTGGAGAGTAGAGTATTGTGAGATGCCTTCATTCGTCGAGAACAAACAACTGCCTGCTGCTAACCTCGAAATAATCTTGGTCCTGTAATGTACAGTAATCCAGAAACTGCTGTGTGAAGGTTTCTCCATCCCCGAAGCAGATCCAATCGCCCGCAAAATCACGACCCTCCTAAACAAGCTTACTGCAAGAGTAATCTTACCGCTGCGGCGCTGTCATCAAAGTCACGAGAAATGTTGCTTTAGCTTGGTCCAGCCGTGCATGAAACCAGTGGTGTCGCGCACGACACACTTCGGTGCTTCATCGACCTCGCTTCGCCGGAACAGCGCTTCATGCGGTCAAGAGAACATCCGAGCATACGGCAGCATGGCGAGGGGAGGGGACGGAAGATTAAGGTTATTGGGGAAATATGGAGCAGGAGCTTGAATTTATCGCAATGCTTGTAATTGCTGCTATGCGAATCCGAAGAGATTGTTGTTCTGCTTGGAAAGCGAGGGAAGGAAGCAGCTCAAGTGATCCCGAGCCTACGCGCCAGTGCGATGAGAATAGGGTCAAACTTGAGGCCGCAGGAGAACAGAAAGGAGGTTCAAACGCCGACTGATGAGCTGCATGCTCGTCCAATGTCACGTCTAAGCGGTTCAGTACCAGGTCAAGCTGATCGGGAAGCCCACGAGCCGTTTGAGAGGCGCGGGGTCAAAACACGTTTCGATTCTACAGCACAGTACTGTTCTCCGTACCACTCTCCCCTATTTGGTCCCTGCCTCCCTGGTGTGGGAGATGGAACAGCACAGGGTCTCTGGTGCGGCTTCAGAGTTTGGAGATCATGCAAGCTGAGCTGCATCTTATTTATGCCTTCGCTGCCTCCCATCTGATCATATGTTCTTGGCTCTTCCATTCATTCCAACCTCCCGACCTACTCTTTTCCCACTTGTTTTATTTTTCTCTTCTTTGATTTTATCTCATAGTAGTAACATTCAAACACCTTCATTCTTTATACCTTAATTGTCGGCCAGTACGACACCAAAGCGCTAGACGCCGTTACTTTCAACTTTCAACTTTCAATCCTAACCCTCACACTCGTTATTTGAGATCTGGATCTTTTACCAAAAAAACAAAACAATACTTCAAAATGCAATTCACCACCGTTGCTTTAGCCGCCATGAGCGTTGCCGGCGCCTTGGGTAAGCTCCCTCTCCTACCAAACCATCCTCAGCATACATAGATAGAAATCTAACAACCCCACCAGCCCAAACAGCAGGAACAACAGTCCACGTCGTCAAAGTCGGCAGTGCCAACGGCTCCCTAACATTCGCGCCCAACGACATCAAGGTCCCGGCGGGCGACATGGTACAATTCCAATTCGCGCCCAACAACCACACGGTCACGCAATCGACCTTTGCTAAGCCCTGCGTGCCCATCTCCCAGACCAGCAACGTGACGGGCATCTACTCTGGCTTCATGCCCGTCAAGGCGGCTGATACTAATACGCCGACGTATACCATCATGGTCAATGATACGAAGCCAATTTGGCTATATTGTAGTCAGGGGAAGCATTGTCAGAGCGGCATGACTATGGTTATCAATGTTGCGTATGTTATCCCTCCCCACCCATCTACCTTGTATCTCTCCCAATATAACAACCCAAATCCTGACATCCTCCCTCCCACAGCGCAACAGGAAACTCCACCCTAGCAGCCTACAACACGCTCGCCAAAGCCGCAACCGCCAACCTCGCCCCCGGCGGAGTCTCCGGCGGCGTCTCAGGCGTAAACTCCTCATCCTCCTCTTCCTCCTCCAGCTCAGGAACAAGCAATTCCGGTTCTAGTTCCGGCTCCTCGACTAGCTCGTCATCAAGCAGCTCTTCCAGCGCAGCAGCAGCGGCGAATACAAAGAACGGGACGTCGTTTGCTACCGCTATGAGACCGAGGTCCGTGGAGGCCATGTCGTTGGGAGGGTTGGTTGCGCTGGGGTTTGCGGTTTTGTTTTAGATGTGAGTGATGGAGGGAAAGAAAGGGGGGGAGATGGCATACATATATGTGATATACAGTTCGGGCGTGTCAACATGTGGGCGGGAGTAGTAATTCTAGAGTTGGGGATATCTGCGTATATTGGGGCGAGGAAAAGAGAAGCATGGTTGGTTTTTGGTTGATTTGTTATTATTAAATCCGCGCTTGATGACGCGATGGAGATTGATTACCTAGACGTTGGAATACCATGCATGCATACTGATGCCGTGCCATATATACATTTCTTGCTCTACCTACACTGCGCCAGCCTGCCTGTACCTTTCCGTTCTTCCTTTTCATATCCGTACATGTATAGAAACACAATATTCTTACAACCCCAGCCCTCTTCCCATTCCATCTCCACGAGAACCACTTCCATCCGTTCCTGTAAAGGTGATACAATTAGGTATATAGATGAAGTAATAGCCTCCTCTTCCACGTCAACATCCACATCTATCTTCTAAGCAAATACCCATCCCCTCACTTCCCCTCCGGCCTGGCCCTAGCACTCGGCCTCGCCGCCTCAGCCTTCGCACACAGCGTCTGCAACGGCCCCTTGGTCTCCCACCCCGGCTCCCTCTTTACGCGTCCAATCTTCGTATATTTCGGGCTGTTCTCGAAGAAATCAACCCAGTGCTTCAGCGCTTTGTGGACTTCGAGCTTCGCGTTGCGTTTCTCGAGCGCCTTGATGTTTTTCTATTGCGTTTGGTATTAGCAAATAATCTATCAATCAAGCAAGCAAGCAAGCAAGCAAACATATACAACCCGCGCAAAGGAGGGAATGTAATGTAATGTAGCAACGTACCAGTTCACCACTCTTATACAGCCCATCAACCTCGGCATCATCCCTCGGTATAAACGCCCATTCCGCACCCCTGAGATCAGGATTCCGATCCTCCGTAAAGCAATTCGTCACAAACGCACGACTGGCGTCCGCGCCCGCGAAGAAGCTGTAGCTGCCACCGGGGCCGTAGAATTTGCGGCCTGCTGAGACGTCGTAGATTGTGCCGTTGATGGCGAGGAGGATGGGGAGCTCGGGGTTCGTGCCGTCGTACAAGGCGAGGTCGGCGTCTGTGTACTGTTTAGGTCCGGCCTGTGTGGTGGGCGTGGTTAGCAAGATATTATTGGAGTTGGAAATTGGAAATTGTAGTTTGGATCAAGGGGCGAGGGGAGAAAGGGAAGGGGGGAGATTACCATATAAGCCTTCACGACATCTAACCTCGACCACTTCGGTCTCTGTACACCCCAGAAAAAGCTCTCCCCCGTAACGAAATAGCTCAGCGCCGAGCTAGCCAGCAGCACGAAGACGAGCGCGCGCAGGATATCGAGGAGCGGGAAGCCGCTGCCGTCTTCTTTCTCGAGGACTTCTTTGGGGATGGGTTTGGGTTTGTCGTTGTCATTTGAGGGCGCTGGTTTGCGTTGGCGTATATCTGGCATTTTCGGATGGAGGTGGAGGATGGGTGGAGAGAGGAGGAAGAGGGAAGAGGGAGATGTGCTATGATCTGGTGTTGTAGGTGTTTACTTTAGGCTGGTGGTTATTGGTGAGGTTGAGGGTTCCGTTTAGCCTGTTTTTGAAGGGGTAAACTCTACCGAAATTGGGGTTCTGGAAGTCGGGATCTTGGGCTTCTTGTTTAGGAGGGGATCTGCTGGAGAAGAGATGGGTGGAGTGGGGTTATGTAGAGGCTGACAATTCTTTTTAAAAGAAATCTCAATGCCCAATCATGTCCCATGCCAATGTTTCCGTGTCGAACCACTTTAGATGGTGAAAGGAAAGGTTGCATTAGATTCACGTATCACCGTCATGATCACAGTCACGGTATCACACAAGAAAAGCATGCGAGAAAATTTGTGTCGTCAAGAAGCAATTCGATTGGATATGCTACACCGGAGAAAGACCCATGCCCATTGCAAATGCCCAATACCATGCCCTTCACTCGCCGTATCTACCCCATGGTTGATCTCGAGGTAAGGTGGTCATGACATCGTTATCTTAACAGGTGATTGAAAGCCTATTCCGCAGTGATCTCACGAGCTATACCGCTGTTAGTATCTACAGGAATAAAGAGTTTGTGACGGGAAAAGACTTACTGTAGATCTGCAACTTGCTGTGACCAACAACCTTCTTGATTTGTCCCTTCTCCTCCAAGTCCGCCAGGCATCTCCGCGCGAGGGAGCCGTTGATCTTCAATCTGTCGACAAGGGTGGCAACTGTGATGAGACGGTATGATTGAACATCTTTGTAGAGTTTGTCGGAGGTGGCTTTGTCGAGGATGACGGCGTGTTGGGCCTTGTCCTTGACTATATATGTGTTAGATTTGAAGCCATGAAATATAGAACGAGGTAGACAAACCCTTTCCCTTAGACCACTGCAGTTTGTAACGCAAATTAGCATTGATGTTCCGTATTTGAAAGCATAGGAGATGAATTCAGAGCTTTTGCGGTAATTGACTTCTAAGTCTAGGCCTGCTACTTGGCAATGACCTTTACTGGATGTGTGCTTGATGTTCTGAAATCCTTGTCCTCCATAATGTTGATACAAGATGGAGGATAAGCGCTTCTAGATTCCATCAAAGCCGACACCGAAGAAGCAACACCTCCCGAAATATCAAGCCCACTGCTTAGCAGGCTTTGTGTAATGAAGGCCATAATTCTGATTCAATCTCATCCATGTGGCGACTCGCGGAAAGTTGAAGGTGAAGTCGGTGCCGGATCTGTAAACAGACGGTCACCCCCAAAAAACCCCGCCCCGAGCCTTATAGCCATCATTTGTGAATGTCCCACTTCGAGGAGAACATCATCCCAATCATCATTATCGCATTGAAACGGATTGGATGACGGCGCTTTATAGAAAAATGTGGTCGGGTTGGAGATAAACCTGTTGATGGGACTAACCTTCTTCTTTTCTGTAGAACAATAATGTTAGCTTTCTATTTATTTGATTCTCTGGATATACAACTAGGGTGAACATTGCTGCAGGCTCAATTTTGACGTTCTGGGGATATTTTTGGTATTTTCATGGAAAATGCCCCGCTTGAGACCTTCAACTTTGTGCCACATCGAGTCGGAAATTCTCAGAGGGGATTCTTACGTTTCTTAGCTCCGGTGTTTGCTGGAGCCATGGCTGCGGTGATACGAATTTACTTTGACGTTATTCGTAGAGGGTGGTGTCGTGAAGTTTAGAAGGAGGTTGAGTCGTTCTGCGATGCCTTTTCAGAGTGTGCAAAGGTTTTCGCTTGTCTGACCAACCAGACGTTAGCGCTGCGATCCATTCGCACATCGATTTTTCCGCGCGCCCAATATTCGAACCTCAAATCTCGAAGACTCCGTGAGAACACCCGACAATCCATTCCTTTGCCTCAACATCCCGCCAAAATGTCTGAAGCAGAAGAGTCCGTCGAAGTTACCCCTTCTGGATATGAAGTACTACCAAAGGAGGTGACCGCTGAGATCGGCAGCGTCAAGCTCTTCAACAAGTGGTTCGTACAAATAAATCGCGGGGGAAAAGGACAATTGCTAACTAGAGAATACAGGAGCTACGAGGATGTCGAAATCCGTGATATCTCCTTGACGTAAGGATCCCATAACAATCATATACTGGGAATGGCGCATTGGCAGATGGAGGACTAACATTTCGCAGCGACTACATCCAAATCCGCGCCCCAGTCTACATCTCCCACTCCGCCGGTCGATACGCACAGAAGCGATTCCGCAAGGCACAATGCCCCATCATCGAGCGTCTTACGAACTCCCTGATGATGAACGGTCGTAACAACGGAAAGAAGCTCATGGCAGTCCGCATCGTTGCCCACTCCTTCGAGATTGTATGTTGAGCCTACAAGCAGGAGGAACACAACTAACAAACCGCAGATTCACATCATGACTGACCAAAACCCTATCCAAGTCGCCGTCGATGCCATCGTCAACTGCGGACCCCGCGAAGATTCCACCCGAATTGGTTCAGCTGGTACCGTCCGTCGTCAAGCCGTCGATGTCTCTCCTCTCCGCCGTGTCAACCAAGCCATCGCTCTCCTCACCATCGGTGCCCGTGAGGCTGCGTTCCGAAACGTCAAGTCTGTTGCTGAGTGCCTGGCGGAAGAGTTGATCAACGCTGCCAAGGGAAGCAGTAACTCGTATGCCATCAAGAAGAAGGATGAGCTGGAGCGTGTGGCCAAGTCCAATCGGTAAAGGGTTATTATGGTTCTTTGCATGGTATGGGGTTTCGATTTGCTGGATGGGCGATAAGGTTGCGTTTGTCACATAAATGACTATTGAATCCAAAATGCCCTTGACAAATTGTATGTTTGGAATGCTGAGTTTGGTGTATGTGATGTATTGAACGTTGGGAACTTCCTTACGGATAACCGATGAGATGCTTCCGACAAACCGAAACCTGGGGTTTTGCAAGGTTGAGAAACCTGAATTTGCTCAGTTCAAACTTCACTGTCTCATTCCGTACCGCACATTCTGCCCTTGAATTACTAAATCCCCTTCACAGTGTTTTCACCCAGTGCAGGCTATCTTTATACTTGCTTGTTCAATCCGACTTTCGCTTACGTGTTGTAACCGCCTTGAGACTTGAATTTCCTACAATCAATTGAAGATTGAAACTGCTTCCTAAATACCTTATTTAGAAAGGGGAGATCCCAGGTCCGATACCCAACAAGATGCAAATGTTACCAGCGAATGAAGCCCCAACCCTACCCATACCCATACCTATCTATGGACTAGAATGTCTCAATGTCATATCCGAAAACCCGGGACGACTGCAAATGTGGAGTGAAATCTATTCTATGTATGCACAATAAACACACTCGCAAGGAAAATGCACAATTGAAGTCTTTTTGCTTAGTTCCGAGCTCTCAATAGACGGCTTAATTCCAGGGGGAAAAAGAGGGAAAAGAAGAAAGCATACTATATTGGTTCCTTGAAGAGTCAAGTCAAAATATACATTTTCTCAAAGCGAAAGGGACATTATAGAACAGAATGTGAAAGGTCGCTGTCTTGACCCAATAGGCCACGGCTTCCTTGCTGAGCCGGACATGCGGAGCTTGTCTTGCAAACCGGTAGCGTACACAGATTGACAGATGTGGTGGATTGACCGAATCCACCTGCAAATTGAAATACAAGAGCCTCAAATATTGAATGTTTTACAGGGTTGAAAATTTCCATCCCCTTTCCACAGTCGTTGCTCCGCCAGAGATACCCCCTGGTCTTGGCGATCGGTGTTTGTACCGAGTCGTGAACCGGCTTCTACGGTTTGTATGCTGGAAGAAAAAGAGTAAAAGAGGGAAGAAAGAGAACTATTTATTAAAAGTTGAGCAATTTAATCGTACATATCTCCTATAGAAATTTAAATGTATATATGTGAAATATCAAGCATTTGCTCTCTTTTGGGGTTTCCATTTTCCGTCATCTTTGCACCGTAAATTACACCACGTGACCATAGCCTCGGGGAATCTCGGCTCGTTAGCTCAAGCTGGCCTTCAAATTTCCTCCAGGATCCCTTTTCCCGCATACAAAAACTTTGTCGAGACCTCGCATCTCTTCAACTTCTACATCCACAATCACATCCTCTTCTCTTCTCTCCCCAGTCCTCAAGTCTCCTACTTCATACATCTCCCCTCAGTCCTAGATCGTTTGATCCTCCGTCGCAATCATGAGCAACGAACCTCCAGTCAAGCAGTCCGTCATGGGCGTGTACGTTTAATCCTGTTTTCTTCTCTTCCCTCCCTCGCAGCCGAATCATCATGATCGCGACCAACTCTTCCTATACGAAGTTTGGCCATCGCCATTCAGCATCAATGGAGCTCAATTGGTCTCCTGCAATGTCATAGATGTGCGCTGTGCGCTTTATCATAAAGTTGACACCTTTGTCGATACTCAATGGCACTGCGATCAATTTTTCCTCGGTCTTCCACCCAACCTCTAGCATCATCAAGCTGACGTTCTCACCCGCAGTCCTCCTTTCGTTATCGACTTCTTGAGTATGTATACCTCTGCTGCTACTTCGTATCGCTATCGCCGTCGAATTCCATCGACATCGATAGATAAAAGCCTTGTGAGGGAATTTCACGTGCAGCAGTGCTAACCCGCGATAACAGTGGGTGGTGTATCCGCCGCCGTCTCAAAGACTGCCGCAGCTCCCATTGAGCGTGTCAAGCTGTTGATCCAAAATCAGGTATGTATAGAGCCCTTAACTCCGTTTCAATCTTTTTTTCAGCCTTTGCGGTTATGCGCATTGGGCCAACCCCTGGCCAAGATTGTCAACACATGCGTAGAATGACGATAGATCTTATCTGCATTGCACATCTTGACATCTGCCTATCCATCGTCCTGCCAGCTCAATGTAACACAAACTAATACCATATCAGGAAGAGATGTTGAAGTCTGGCCGTCTGGACCGGAAGTTCGAGGGTATTGGAGACTGCTTCAAGAGAACCATTGCCAACGAGGGTGTTGTTTCGCTGTGGCGTGGTAACACCGCCAACGTTATCCGATACTTCCCTACCCAAGCCCTGAACTTTGCGTTCCGTGACACCTACAAGTCCATGTTCGCTTTCAAGAAGGAGCGTGATGGATACGCCAAGTGGATGGCCGGTAACTTGGCATCCGGTGGTGTAAGTTTCCCTGAATACTCCCAACCTGAAACCCAAATCCTAACAATATAAATAGGCTGCCGGTGCTACTTCCCTCCTGTTCGTCTACTCCCTCGACTACGCCCGTACCCGTCTCGCCAACGACGCCAAGGGAAAGACTGGTGGTGACCGTCAATTCAACGGCCTGTTAGATGTCTACAAGAAGACTCTTGCCACCGATGGTATCGCCGGTCTTTACCGTGGTTTCGGTCCTTCCGTTCTTGGTATAGTCGTTTACCGTGGTCTGTACTTCGGTCTTTACGATTCCATCAAGCCCGTTCTCCTGGTTGGTCCTCTTGAGGGCAACTTCCTTGCCTCCTTCGCTCTCGGATGGGGTGTCACCACCGGTGCCGGTATTGCCTCATACCCTCTCGATACCGTCCGTCGTCGTATGATGATGACGTCTGGTGAGGCCGTCAAGTACAAGTCTTCCCTCGATGCTGCCCGCCAGATCATCGCCAAGGAGGGTGTCAAGTCTCTCTTCAAGGGTGCTGGAGCCAACATTCTCCGTGGTGTCGCCGGTGCCGGTGTCCTGTCCATCTACGATCAAATGCAGGTCCTTATGTTCGGAAAGGCCTTCAAGTAGATGCTTCTCTTGTGTAGTTGTAGAAATTGGTGATGGGGTGGGTAATTTGTGCTAGTGGTGGTGTAGCGCTGTGGTGGATGGTGGAAGTGGGCGCGGCAGGCAGAAGTTAACCAACATCCATTGCTTATGGTGTTGGAGCAACTTGCAGTTTGTACTTTGGATCTTCTGTCAAAGTCGCTGCTGTACTTTATTACCAGGCAATTCCCTGATGTGTTCCTCTTTGCCTTCCTTGCTGGCTTGCGTCTTCGCTGGGTTCCTTCTTTCTTCTCTTGGTCTTTCTCATGCATACGTCGATAGATTATGGAAGATGGGAAGGGGGTGGTCATAAAAATGGAATGGAAACATTCAATCTATTTACTCTCTTTGTGACTCGTGACTCGTGAGCTTAGACATACTTAGGTAGAAGGAAAGTTATCATTTGTACTTGTATCAGGAAACCTCCCATGACTGTCGACCTTATTTACAAACAACCCTCAAACGCAAATCGCTCACTTCTATTCTGCAGACGCTACGCCTCTCCAATTCTCCTGGCTTCTCTTTGCGGAAAACATGAACCCCATTATCTCTTCCTCTTCTTCTTTCGTCTCGCGATGTAGCGTATCTATGTCTGAAAGGCGGGAGTTGGGAATGCGGAGCTATCGTACTTCGTTATGCGGGTGAGTGCTTGTAGGTGTTGTTAGGAGTTTGTTACTCTTTAGATAAAAGTATCAGACGGGAATGAACAAGGTTTATGAATGTACTGGAGCACAAAATCTCATGGGTTAGTGTCATAGCCCCTCTTGAAGAGGCATGACATATTACTAAATCAAACAAATGAGCATATATCGTTAGCGATCTATTAGAACAAACGACAGATATTTACTTAGCAAACTATTTAAAAAATACTTCCTTAGCTTCTGCAACCCGCTAGTCAAAAAACGAAAAGTATGATTACCCTTCTAAGTTTAGAGTCAACAAAAGAGAAGAAAGGTTCGCCTAGTTTAGTTTACGTTCGGATTTCTCCTAATAGCACCTTAAACTCAGACTACATCCTCCTCCAAGTAACTCTCCGACTATGGTACTTGGAGCCTGACTCTCTATCACTCTAGACTCCTTGATGGTTAAGGCCTAGCTAATTACTCCGTTCGACTTGAGATTTGGCAAGGAAAGTTAAAGTGACTAGTATGTGTGCAAGTGGTTATGGAGGTTTGATCGTTTAGCGTCTGTTCCCGGACGGTGGGCCTTCGAGTGTTAGTTTTTAGCAATTAATTGGGAAGTTGCTAGCAACTAGGTTATTTTGAGTTATTTTTTTACTTTGAGTGGTTATTGGCTTATTTTGGTTTATGCAGATATGCCATTCAATCGTGAGGTGAATGGAAATCTACGTTAAGACGCCCCCGATGAGTGATTGGCAATATCGCAGCACTCTCTACGAGACTCTAGCTTGCTCTCCTCCTAGTGTATAGAACTCCTATGACTCATCCGCGTAAACCTGATTAGCTCGTCACACAACGCTCTTGACACCTGGTTGCCTAGATTCTCGCAGACGAGTTTCTCGATTTCGGCTCAGCCGCAAGTGCAACTTTCCAGGATGTGAAAAGGGAGAAGGAAGAATGACAAGCATGAATTATTATGTATTAGGCTTTTCATTCACGCATGTCTCTGATAGGGGCGGACACCTGATGGCTAACGAAGATAGTACTATAGCGGAAGAGTATCCGTTAGCGAGTGGGGGCTGCTGTTAATTAGATTGTAATATCTAAGACTTCCTTCCTTGTGGGGCAAGAGAACTCTATGGCGAGGATTGACTTGGGGATTGTTGGCGGTAAGTTTGAATGGACTACAGTTGAGAGAGGAGAACTTGAAATATGGTTTCTTGCAAATCCCAAACTTCTCACTTGAACAAGATCGAAACGCTTCCATAGACCAAGGCTCTTTCCAGGCCCTTTTAATGCGAATACCACAAAGATCCTAGAAGCTCACTGTGACAATATGAAAGTTCCTAACTGAGACCTTGGGCCAAGTAAATTTGATAAGGGCATCCCATGAATTGCCTTTCCTCTGCCAACAAAACTATACTCTAGAACAACCCTCTGAATTCCAGCTATCGTGAAGAGATCATGGACATGTCTAGCATAACCGCCCCCGCCCAAACTGAGAGCATTCCTATTCTTTACCATCAAGCTGACTGCGGAGCGAGCGAAGGGAACTTCAATAAGAAAGCTCTAACGGGAACACACAACTACAGCCATACCAATGTCCCTCAAGAGAGGCCACTTTCTTGGCCCCAGAGATAAGCAAGAGCTCTCGAGTATCACTCTTACTCGACTCTTTCCAGAACGGCTTCAAGAGACTAGCAGAAAAGTCACTTGAGTATTACGACACGCAGTTCACCATAAGAATATATTTTTAGATACAAAAGACCCAAGTCTCACAGAACTATTTGGAGCTCACGTCCGCCGCTAGCCATTGCCTCTCAACCTCTTCGGAATCAACCAATCATAGTAGAGAATTTTGGAGTGTGGTATTCACTTAAGAGTTCACTCTCCTTGACTGCTTGGTGGTATTGTCCGTAAGCGAGAGAGCTTCTTCTTCCTCTTCGCTCCGCGCGCACACCTAAACATCTTCGACAGCAACAATTCACACAAACAGAACACCTCGCGCATACCACAACGATGAAGTTCGAGCAATCCAATAACGGTATGCTCCCGTACATCCGACTTGAGTTGAACCTTCTGACAACGTAGACCTCGACATGGAGAGCAAGATCAGGGACGTTGACAACGCCTTGCATTTGATCAAGGACAATGTCAAGCTCACTGGCAGCGCCATTCAACAAGTTGCAGGCACCTTAAACAACATGGTAAGCGAAGTCACGAAGATTGAGAACAACATACTCGCCGCCGAAGACGCCCTCAAACACCTCAACGCGCTCAGCCTGAAGAACAAGGAGGACGCACAGAAGGAGGTTGATGGAGCTTTCGACAAAGGCAAGGAGTTCGCGATCAAAGAGCTCAGCGACACCATCATGAAGAATCAGGAGGACGATCGCATTACATACAATACAGCTCTGGCCCAAGCAAAAGAAGAAGCACGCGTCGAGCTCGAGGCCGCTGTTCTCAAAGCTAGAGAGGATACGATCAAGGAGCTCACCTTTGCTATTACCAACTTCAGTGTCTCGAGGTCTACATCTGGCATCAAGCCTGAGGAAAAGCCAGAGGACATCGTCAATGGAGCTCAGCTTCTGCCCAGGTATACTTCCGAAACAAATTCACTTACATCGTTTGGGGTAATGTGCGATGAATTGAGCCGACACACAGCTGGCTACCTCCGCACGCTGAACAACGCGTACAGGATCGAAATCAGCAGCGTCTCTAACATGTTCAAAGTCCATCGACAGCTTTATACCTTCCTATTTGGCACGAACGAATTGGGAGAGAGCGAGGCACAGGCAATTATTGACGCGCTAGTGTTCAAACAAGGTATGCAGATCGCTCCGGCCACAATTCTCTCAGTCAAGAAGGCTTTTCTTCAACTCGGTCTTGATATTGCCATCCTCGAATATCGCAGTCTTCCGACCTTTCTCAGTAGCTGCAATGCTGCTTTTGATGAGGCAATCACTAGGGATGGGTCCTTGGATGGGTCACATTCGGTGCAACTCGTACAGACGGCACTTGAGAGACAGACGGTGGCTCGTGGTTATTTGCATGGATGGGAAGCAAAGGCTGACGCAGGTAAGACTCCCACATTGCGAGTCCGTGAGGCATTGTCCTGGGCGGCTTCACTTCGTAATATTTGACGGTTAACGATAGGTACAGTTCTACCCAATGAAGGAATGCGTAAGTCATTTGAGAAAGAGGTCTCCAAAGGCTGTCTCAACGGCTTGAGGATATTGCAACCCACGGATTTCCCGGATCAAGAGAAGTTCAAAACGATTAGAACGAAGGTCGGATTGTGTTGCCGGTGCAAGGACTGCAGGAAGGGGCTGGGTATTGAATGATTGGTTGACTTCGTATTCTGACAGTTTCTCAAACAAGTCATTGCAGGAGTATTCGTCGCTGCGTTGTTGCTTGGTCAAACTTACGTATATACCAGAATGGATTTGCTTGACTGTGCAGCATTTGCATCTAAAGGATTTTATTTGTTTTGAAGTTTTCAAACCTGCAAAGGGACGGTGTGTCGTTGGTTCTGCCGTATGGGGAGTAGTGCCTTCCTTCGCGCTTCAACGCGCCTCTTCCTCAAGCAACCTGTGACATCGCGTGCATGGAACGCCGAGCACCAGCCTCGAATAATCCACGATATTCGGAGCTCGAGACAGTTCCAATATCTATCGTGGAAAATGTCCCCAACAGGCTCAGGCTGCGCCAAACAGCTTCGCCGTATTATGTTTTGTTTCCTATCTTCGATCCCGAGATACCGTACTGCCTCCCACCATCAGCCATCAGTTTCACTGACAATAACTAGCGAATCAGTGATGGGTATTCTCCCAACGTCTAACCAGCTGAGATCGCAAACTTACCTCGAGGCACACCTTCAATCCGTGGCGTTGCATTACTCCACCCGAAGCTGGACAGCTGTCTTCCATGTCCCACCAACACGGTCCATACCCTGCCACACCACATGCGACCCCTCTTTGTCTGACTACGGATAAGCTTCAGCTGGCTGGACATGGAGATGCAAAGCGAGGGAGAGCAATGTGGAATTTTAACCGTGGTCTATGCGAAACGGCTTCTCCCCCGCTGTGTCGATTCTCACCCGCTTGGACCACGCGTCCTAAAATAGATCGATTAACCTTTGAGCTACCCTTTCCACCACAACACACTTTGAGCACCCATATCATGCTTACTTGGGACCTCCCAATGCCTCCGTTCCGATGAGGCCCTATATGAATATCATGCTTCGATGGGACTTTCCCTATCGCTTTGCAATTGGTGCTACTGAAGTCGTTCTATTGTCCTGGGTTCTCTTTGGAATGGAAATATGACTATGAAACTCTCGTCGGTTCAAGTGTAATAACTTATGGCCTTTCGAGGCGTGCCCCGGGATGGGGACGGTATCGGTGAGGCTGTCACTACGGATAGGGCGGTTGGAATTCGATCTCCGAATCCAAGTGCCAGGGGACATTCTCATACAAGGACGAACTCGAGGCTTTTGACAGAAATCCATGGATTACTTCAAGGTCCCAGGAGCCAATTCGAATACGATGCCACCGCAAATTATAAAAACCTTGCTCCCCCAATTATTGACAATCCGAACACGGAGAAGAAGAAGCCAATTCATGTACCTGATTGGGCCAGTGTACCAGACTCTCTTGGAAAGAATAGGACGGAGCATGTGAAATTGCTTGTTCTGGATGTGATCTTGATAGCGATTTCGATTCCATTCTTTGTGCTCGCTGGTGTGGTAATCGTGATGGATGGGGAGAATGTCGACTTGCACCCTTCGAATGCTTTGGACCAATGTATCAAATGCGTGAGTGGTTTCTTCGAGCAGTTCAACAAGCCCAACCTCTACACCTTTAATTCGGCATGAAAATTCTAACTCTTTCAAGGCTGCTACACTCTTTCCCCTATTGTTCTCCTTCATCGTGGGAAGAGCTATCATCAAACTCGCTTCTTGGACCTTGGAGCGGGGAAGCACTCTTGGAAAATTGGAAAGCTTGATGGGGAGTCGAACGGTAATAGGGGCTATCGTCACCCAGCTACAACTATGGCCCTTGACATTTCTCGGTCTCGGGCTTATTGCTTTGTGGTGTATGTCTCCTTTAGGTTCTCAGGGTATACTTCGAATGTTGTCTACGACCGACAGACTTAATTCTGCTTCTTCAAATGTAGGGTATGCTAGTACACGGCAAGCAATTTACTCCGCTGATCTTCAACCTCAAAACACCTGGCTTCCTGGTTTTGCAAGCCTGTTTGGTGCAGCTTTACTTGCACCTGTAGCAGTCAAGACTAGTGCCATGGATCTGTGGGGAAACGTCAAAATTCCTCTTTTGTCCAGCCTCTCTGGCATTCCTCAGGATGAAAATGGGTGGCAAAAGGTCCCACAGAACAATCACTCTCTCACCTACGCATCCCTATTCGGAATTCCAATATCAAGTCTCCCTGCCGGTAATACGACATTCAACGTCGAGTCCACATACTTGGAATTGGCTTGTTCTAACAGAAGTTCCACAGTCACTCGACTTTATGCCCCCAATTCCACACAAGGAGGTGTCTTCTACAATCCTGGTTTAATATCCACCTATGGTCCCTTTCGAAGTGGGGTCAATATCAACTCGGACACAGCTTGGGCAATCGGATATCTAGGTACGGATCTGGAGTCACTGCTCCCTTCATCGAAAAATACTACAGACCAGTGCCTCGACTGCCTTCCGACGAATCTCACGGCGCCATCTACGCTGCCAGGATTCCTACTTTACCAAGACTTCGAAGGCGCTCATAATGTCACATCCATCTACTGCACACCATCACAAGCATACATCGAATCTACTATCTTTTGCACCCAAACACCAACCGATCAATCCTGCACGACTATCGTCCAGCGTCCCTCCTTGCTGTTCCATACCCCATCGACAATTACCTCTTTGAGCTTCAGCTCAATTGTTAACAGTCTCTCGGAACTTCTTCCCCTTTCCATACCAAAGCTTTCTGGGGTAGACACCATGCAAAACTATATTATTTCACCCCTTGACAATAAATATATCGAATCCGCACAGATGTCGCGCAACACAATAACTCCCGCAACCTCATACATCTCATCTCCAGCGACAGAATCGCGACTCCTCGACGTGCCACTCGAAGATTTCTCCGTCCGGCTTTCCCAAATCCTCAACACGTATCTCCAAGGCAGCATTCAGAACTCCACGACCTACCTCACAGGCTCCGCACTTCCTCCCTCCACGATGATCGCCACAACGTCTGCAGAATTGGCATCCCAAGTCAAAAGCCCAACCATCACAGTCCCGGCTAACACCACACAGCTCATCCAAGTATACTCCACCTCCTACCCATGGCTCCTCATTTTCCTCCTCTCAAACACGATCCTTCTCCTCTCCGCCATCGCCGCCGCTCTCCTCTCCCGCCTCACGCTCGCGCGCGATTACCTGCCCTACGTCTCCTCCCTGCTGCGGGAATCGCAATTCAGCTCCATGCCCCGCGGAGGCGTGCGGCGTGCTGGGTTGGCGAGAAGTCGGGATTGTAGGGCGTTGAAGGTTCAATTGGGGGATGTGGGGGATGTAGCTGCTGGGTGGAGGGTCGGCACGGGGGTCGCGGTGTCGGTTGGGAGGATGGCGGTGGGGGATTGGGGTGGAGATGGGGATGGAAGGGAGTGGGGGGTTGAGAGGGTGAGGGGTGGGAGGTTGTATTTGTGAGCGGGATAAAGTATTTTTGGTCTATCTTGAGCCTTCGGATGGAGTGTGTTTGGTTTGGTGAACATCATCGTTGAGGAACTCTCGTTTCCTCCTGTTCCCTAGATATGAGCAAGTGACCGCGTCATGAAATGTGATTTTCCCAAGCTCATCTGTTAGCCAGCGTTATAAAGCGCAGGTGAACGGCTTTAGTTGCCTATCAACTGCAAGATTGAAGCAATAATAACACAACATCAGTGATTTTCCTATTGCATTGCATTGCATACATACTCTCAAGATTAACTACTGAGTTTCAAAACCCTCCGTCCAGTAGCGCGTAGTTGCTTCTTGCGTGATACGACTCTGAAGAGGGATCTGGGTCCTGGTCAATTGTTGTCGGTAAGAACATTCGTTCATTATTCATTCACGGCCTTGAGTGGCGACAGCTTGAAGTGAGCAGAGGGCGTCTGCACATCAAAGCAGCCTAAGTACTTGGAGCGGGGTGTATAGGTTATTATGGTATTGATTTTTGGAATTTGGAATTTAAGATTGGGGGCATGTGATGGGATAATGTGAAGGTCTTTATGGGAATGTTTGGGATAGTATTTGTGATTAGGTAGAAAGTATTGCTGTATAAGGTACGCTGTGAAGCTATGGCTGCATTGCAATGCCTAGACTGCTCATCTCCAACCTGGAAGGAATTGCTGTTTTTTTTTTTGCTCGACGAGTTAAGTCATATGCATGTTGGTGTATCAAAATTTGAATTCTAAAATTCATCAACTCTTATATTCTTCAAGCATCACAGGGAGGTAGATGCATGTCCTGCGAAAAGTGGCATTAATAATAGGACTTTGGGGGTCACCTCAGGTGACTCGATTTTAGTTTAATTGTATATGCTTTTGAAGTGGCTTTTGAAATGAATTGTTGCCACTGTTTTAGTTGCGCAGAAAGTGTTACTAAGTCAAGGGATGGAAGAATTCGAGGGGGGGGGGGGGGGGGGGTTGTCTGGATGACTAGTCTATAGGCAATTTCATGGGTCGTTCGGGCAGCCGCCTTAGGTGAGATTTGTAGAAAGGTTGTGGAAGGGATGGGGTGTGCTTTCTAATTTTCTCAACCGGTGAGCCGATATGTTCAGCCCCTTTAGGCTTGGTTGTTAATAGACGGCACGATAGGATATATTTGTTTACGTGACCAGGACATCTCACCCATCCTTTGACTAAGACATTATTACATTTACCTTGAGTCTTTATCCTTGGAAAGACCAAGACCGCTGAAAGCGTTCAGAAAAGCCCATAGTGACGAAAACTACTAATCGCTAATGAATCTCGTGAGACTTTACTAACACTTATTAATTCAATAGTAAATGGTGACTTCATAGGCTTATCTGCATAATCGTGTGTAGACAGGTCGGCCGCTTCACGGGATCATATTTCAATTATTCTTTTACCTAAAGGGAAGCACCCCTAAAAATTCACTAAGTCTCGGAAAATCCTAGCTTGTCAGCCTCTTAACCTTCCTGTATTACTACTTATAAATCTAGAGTTAAGGTGAGGCATATAATACGAGGCAGACGAATATAATAGCAGAGAAGCTATTGTAGAACCATCCTGCAGTTTTCAGTGGTATAACAAATCCCAGTCGCTGTAAAATGTTTTAGTTCATCTCTTAGTAGAGCTACTAGATGATTTGATTATCAGTTTTGGAAGAATATTAAATAAACTGCTTGTCAAACTAGCTCTTCTAGGATGTGTAGCATATATGAAAAGGCTAAGGCTCCTTTGGCTCTTGCTTCTTTATCAGGATTGAATCCGATTGAACCACCTTTCCTGGTTGTTCCATGATAGGGCGTCGTATAAGAGGTCATATATACTCATTATTCACTATCACTTAGACCTTCCACGTAAACAAACTTCGATTCATTTTACACGAGTTCTTTATAACATACACTAAGCGAATATAACACTTTATTTATTGTTGATCTGTTTACATATAGCTATAATTAGTATAGGACTTCCGTCTAGAAAGCTAGACGTCCTTGACTTGCCCAAAGAAGGAGCAAAGATTACTACTTCCGAGTAAGTCTCACAAAACTCTAGCTAAGTGTGAATTCGGGTCGACTTGCCAAACGACGCCAACTAAGCCCCTTTCCACTCTCCTTTTTGCTCGCTTAGCATATAACAATAACCAAACAACCCGAAAACTTCAATTTGATATAGTCGTTGGCTAGCGAACAACCTTTCTAGCTCCGTCATTATCAGGTCAGGTCGAGTGGCAAATGATCGCAAAGCAACTGCAGCCGAATCCTGACCAATCACTCCTCCATCGTCCTTCAGCCAAAAGCGGATTCCGTATTTAAATCATCGAATAACCCACCCCCCCTAGAACACTTGACATAACCAACACTAAACTGCCATCACAGACTATTGTCACTACTCCTAAAAAAGCATACGACTATTCAGGGCAGAGATAGATGCAAGTATTGCCTACAGCACACAAAATGCCTAGCCTCAAAAAGAAGATCATCCCTTCCAAGGAGCAAAATCTCAACGATCCAGAATTCGAGCAGCGCTGCTATTTGACCCCAGGCGACAAGAAATTCGAAGTCGTAACCTGGCACGTGAACAACATCCGGCACCTAATCAACACTCCTCGCCGACCTCGTGGCCCTGTTGACCGCTTAACCCCTCTCAAGCACTTCATCAGAGACCACGCCTACCCGCCCATCATCTGCCTCCAAGACCTGCGCATCCATCGATCCGATGAGAAGATCATGACCGCGATCAAGAACGCAGTCGACGCCGGCGACGGTCCAAACTACGAAGTGTTCTTCTCATTGCGAGGAGCTGCCGCCGAGCATTTCAAGTACGAGCTTCGCGAGGCCGATGGCTATGTCTATAAACCATCCTCCTACCAGCCGAAAAAGGAAATCTCAAGCGAGTGGGCCGGTGTCTGCACGCTCGTTCGCCAGGACTGGAGCGCCTGCGTTGTGGCCGAGGGTACCGGCCAGCGACAGTGGGATGTCGAGGGACGATTCCTAGTCCTTCAGCTCCAGACCGAGAGCTGGAACATGATGATCATGAACTGTTTCTTCCCGGACGTTCCGCGCCGCGAGGGCTTCCACGATCTTGTTTTCCAGGGCCCGAGAACAGTTGATGTTATCGCGGCCCAGGAAGCAGGTGGTGCTGTTCTCGAACAGTTTATTGATGTTTGGATGGATGAGGAGCGCGAGAGATACATTGCGCTCGACCCGATGGTGCTCAGAGGGATGAATTACGAGGAAGAAGTCATCCAGGAAATGGGCACGGTCGAGAAGACTTGCCACGAGTTCCGTGCCGAGTTACACGCACATGTTATGGAAGAGGCGAAAGTGTATCGGGATATCAAATGGCATGTCCTGCTTATCGGAAGCATGAACATCATGCCTCGGGTGTGGGAATACGCGGAGCCGAAACATAGACCGGATGGGTATAAAGCACAGGGCGGTCATAACGCGGAACGAGTTGACTTTTCCAAGAGGTTCTTGGATGAAAGTCAACCAGACGGCTTTCGCGGCATGGATGCGTGGAGTGTTATGAATCTAAAGGACCCGTTTATTCATTACGCTATTGTTAACCGGGAACTTGGGGAGACTCAGGCTCTTTTGGAAGCTAAGGTCTTGGATCATGTTTTGAATAAGGGAGCCATCTATTTCAATGAGCATGATGAACATGTTTCAAAGAATGTGGTGTTTGATTTGGATTGCCTGAGCCAGACGGACGCCGACCGATCTTTTTCGACAGAATATTCCGAAAGAAGGAACGATAGATTTGAAACAACAAGTCATAGTACAGAGAAACATGTTACACCAGGTTTTTCTGTCGGATATTCTGGTATGGACCGTTCTAGCATGGACGGCTCTACAGTGGAAGGTTTTGATGCGAAAGGTTTTCCTTTAGGCGATATTCACCCGAACAGTTACGCTTACGATACAGAAGTTTGGGACAATGGGGTGGATTACACCCCCTATTAACATTTGGTTATTACTACACACATGTACTTTCTTTACTTGGGGTATTTGGCTTTGGAAAGACTTGTTATCGATTCGCTTGTTTCAGCTCTTTACACTATACTGTGAACAGGTCGGAGCATTTAAGGATTATTAGCATAGGCACTTTAGGAGGCAAATATTATATTTGTTTACGAAAATCATCACATAATGCAGGACAATAGTCAGTAATATAAAGCTGTACTCATACAATAGTGCTTTTTATGAAGTAATTCTCAAGTCGTCCCTGATTTAGAAGTGACAGTTTGTAAATTTGTCCAAAGTGGGCAGACCCGCATTCCTAAGAGTAAAGCTAACTCCCCGAAATCTCAAGATGAAGGAAACGCCAGAGGATATATAACGTACATCTTTTAGATCCTTGAGTTGCATTTCTTCTCATCCCCGTCTTGGTTGGTTGAAACCCCTGCCACCACAATGCATCCACAGGTCGAAAAGCATATATTTCCTTCCACGCGCCAGTCTTTATTCCGATGCAATCTGCAAGGTTCCTCCATTATCCTCCTGCCAGAACCAGGTCTCCAGCCCACCCATTCGTCAAGTGCAATACCCATGCTCAACAGCTTCCTCTTGGTATGAAGAAGCATGTCGTTGATACTCCCGATGAACTTGCTTATGAGTCTTAGGTCAGAATTAGGAGTCTTAAGCCTGATCTCAGTGCTACGTAGCCTAGTACTCCTCCCACATTCCAGTTCGTTCAGGAGTTCCCTGTCCACTCAAACCAGCTCTTCAACCTTCCTCGCCTTCAACCCCGCCCACTCCAGCAACTTATTCACATCCCTCCCAAACTGCCTTTTCACACTCCTATTCATCTCACCCAAAGCCTTGCCCTCCACCCCGCCAAACTACTCCCCATATACCACCTGCTCAAATCTCGCGACCTCCGAATCCTCACCCCAGCACTTAATAGTATCTCTCACCAGCTTTCCCTAAGGGGAACGTAGATGGACGGCATGAGTTTTTGGACATTCTTTGGGAAGTGAACGGCGAGTTTAGTGCTGACCAAAGTAGTGAAGATGCGCAGAGAGCCGAGGCGCTGGTATGACATAGCGGGGGGGTTTGGGACGGGTTGGATGTCAAAGTAGATCTTGAGATATGTTTTCAGAATCCCTGGGTAATCGAGCAGAGACATACGAGTAGCGCATAAAATCGCGTAGAGCTTTTCCGTGGGCCAGACACCGAGACCTGGGTTCGTAGCTGCGAGGGATTGGATGGCAGTCTAGAATTTCGCTTTCTTGTCTTTCGGGGTCCATAAGATGGATTCTGGGGTTGCTTGGTCGATGGTCCGAGACAATTCGCTTAGTAAAGGTTCTGCGGGTTGGAGATGGTCGGGACCGGAAGAACATAAGGAGCATGTGCAGTTGAAGTTCCAGGTGTATTGCAGACTTGCTCGGCGCGCATGGAACTCGGAGGCATTTGTGGAAAGATAGTTGAAAGTCAGCTCTCCGCCTGCTGGTATATCTTTGAGAGCCCTGACGCGTAATTCGGTGCCTTCATTAACCCACCAGCAGTTCGGCTGGCAAGCGTGGTTTATCAGTGCTGCAAAAGGTTTGAGTGTGCAGCCCCCACTGATGTCGTATTGGTAAATGTCAAAGGCGCGTGTTCTCCAGAGAATCGGGAGAGACATGCTCAACTCATTGTTGTTGATCTGAATCCAACCTGTTAAGAAACCGAAAATGACATCGAGTAAGAAGACGTACGGCATATATCAGGGAGACGATTTCCTCCACCCCAAGGTCTGTGATATTGTAGTCGATGAATGTCTCTGCACAACTATTGGCCCAAATGCTATAATTGCTTTTCTGTGACTGGAGCAAAGCATGCGTTTCTAAGGAGCAGAATTTAGCCCAGGCTTCGTCTGAGATCTGCTTGGCTCGCAAACACAAGATACGTAGTGCGTAGCGGAAGCTACGGGTGGAGATGTACTTTGGATCCTCCCCAATATCTGCGTCAATAGCTATGGATTTGAGTTCCGCAATACTCTCACACTCGTATTTGTGATGATTGTCCCAAGCTTCGGCCTGGCATTCCTACACGCAGCCAAGTCAAAACTCGTCGAGGTAATTTTACAATATATGAATATGACGTACTTTGCTATAGTAATGTAGTATTTCACAACCCGCACAGGCCGAAAACTGGAGGTTATTGTCTGAAACCGTTTGAAATCCATCAGAGCGGTTGGCAAAGCAATTGTCGCAAGTGGTGCAGAGCACTTCCTCGCCGTCATTGACAATGCATATCAGAGGCTTGCAATGCTGAAAATCAAGTCTCTCGCTTTAATAGCTTGAGGAACAAAGACTCCTCTCCCTGCCCCGGGAATGTCGGAAGCGGCAACCTTGAGGGAAACGCATGATTTGACACGCTCAGGGATTGTTTGGTAGAGATCAATGGGTTGGTCGATTTGGAGGGCATCCAAACTCCCCGCCACTTGAGACACATCGTCCGAGGTGGACATGATGTGTGGTTCAGCTTTGGGACGGAGTTTGTAGCTGTTAAGAGAATGTGTGCGAGGTCGGCGAGGCAAATCATACTCAAGGTAGCGAATGTGGCAGAAGGATTCATCGATAGACCGCCCGCCTCCAGAGTATCCATGGCCAAGTCCCAGAGGTCAGCATATGTAAAGGCCCCAAGGTAGACAAGGGCAATGAACACTTCTCCCCATCCATCTCTTCATCAACAACATCGCACGCATCTAGTTTCCCCAAACCAGGTAGTGCCAAAAAGTCCTCTACAGACTACCGTGCCATAACAGTTGTCATTCAACATTCTCTAGCCACGGACCAGCGAGATATTGGCATTTAGTGAATACTGCTACCAGATGATAGCTTTAGGCTCGAATTCCAGCATACGCATACTATTCTTTTGAGAGAGAGTGGGATTAGGGCAAGAAATGACAAAAGGGGAGCCAGTTATGTAATTTGCAAACATCAAACCCCTTTCATCACGCATCACTTATCATCGCTCTACTACGCCTTCTCCTCCTTCCCCTCCCCACTAACCTTAAAATCCTCCTTCGCAGGCCTCGTCCCAAAAATCGTACTCCCAACCCTGACCTCATCACTCCCCATAGCAATCGCGCCCTCAAAATCCTCACTCATACCCATACTCAACTCCAATCCGCCTTCCCCCTCCCTTCCCCGTCCCAACCCCAGTTCCTCTACCAGCCTATCCCTCTCTTCTTTCAAGACCCTAAAATCCTCATTCTCCTCCCCCTCCCCCGTCGCCTTACTCCTCGCAATAGCGCCGATGGTCATGAGGCCCGCGAGCTTGAGATGCGGACATTCGTTCACGATGTGTCGGGCTAGCGAGCTGGTGTCAGGGCCGGGGGCGACGCCGGATTTCGAGGCTTCGCCGGACGTGTTGAGTTGGATGTGGATGTGTAGGGGGGGCGAGGCGGGGAAGGTAGAGCGGCCGAGGTTTAACTGGGTTGCTTTTTTGGAGGAGTCGACTGAGGAGACTGTGTGGAGGTTTGG